CAGATCAGGAGTCAACCAACCCCATTGACTGTAATGGGGATAACTAGAGCACTGAGCTCCCTGAGGAGTGCTGAGGTCTTGGAGAAGCAGGCTATGACATAGTCACATTCCATAACGGTGCAGGAGCTGTAGCCATGGCCCTCCCACCCACAGCTGAAGCAGATCTGGGCTCCTTCCTGTCCCTAGGGTTGTACCAGTACCCCTCTGGTCAGTATTGGCTGTCAGCAAGGAAGCAGCTTCTGCAGCTCCTGTCTGCTCCCCTTCTCTCATGGGCCCCTTTAATCCCCACCCAACTTACCCTTTGAGGACCATTGCCCCAAAGGAGGAGTAGTCTCCAGTGGCGGGGCTGTCCCAGCCCATGGAACAACCTTCCCATGCATTGTCTCCTCTTTCATGACACCAACCCTTGCACAGGGAAGCCAGTGGACCCACTTCTCTTGATTCAGGTCAGGCAGGTGACCCACAATCTAGTACAGCCTCCAAAAAGTTCTTAACCAAACACACTGCGGTCTCCAGTTTGGCTGCCCCATGCCAGTAAATCCACTCCCGGGGTCCCAGTGGCATGATATGACAGAACTGTTTGAGAACCACCTGCTCAATGATTTCCCTGGTGAACTCAGATTCTGGCCTTAGCCACCAGCAGCAAAAGTTTAGGAGGCATTGTGCTGCAGCCCAAGGTGAAGGCTTCAGCCTGGTACTGTTGGTGGTAACCCTCCACAATGAGACCCAGCTGGTTCAAAATAGCAGCCTAAGGGCTCTATAATCCCTGACCATAGTGAAGTCTTAGGCCCTATATGCTGCCTGAGCCTCCTGTCAGACAGGGGGCCAACTGGAGGGACCATTGCCCCTGGGGCCACTGGTGTGCCAGGGCCAGCCACTAAAATGTCTCCAAGTACCCTTCCTGATCATCTTCCAGTCCCATCTTGGTCAGGGCCCCTTCCCCACTCAGGTCTATAGGGACAATGCATCTACCCCTGCTCCTTGGACTCCAAGGGGTCCCTGGTTCACAAGACAGAGGAGGATCTGCTGCAGTTGGTCCATAAATCACTGGAACTGGAGTTGCTGCTGCTGCTTCACAAGCCATTGGAGATGGGATTCCTTTTCCATCTTGGCAGTACTGGTGTTCAGTTTCAGGCCAGATCAGCTCCCCACGTTCTCTACCATATGTGATCTGGTGTCGTTTTCCCAGTCCAAATAAACAGTCAGATGGCCAGTCAGTCAGTCCTGGTCCCTTCTCCTCAGTGACCCATTTATGGGAACTTATACAAAGTTCAAATCAACACAATAGTAGCAAACCAAGGCAACAGCCACATTCACCGTTCGGCAGTCCCCCCAGCTCTACAAACCTGTGGGCACCGGTGCAGCTCATACCCAGCTATTTTCCCCCATTGCTGTCTCCCAGGCAGCCCTTTATATTTCATCTGCTTCATCTAATAGGTCAGGGTTAACTGGCTGCTGCCCGAACCCTATAGGATCTGGGCTAAAGAGTGCCCTTGTACCCGGTCACAAGGCGTAATTCAAAAATGCATGACCCAACTTTGTATAAACATTAAGAGGAAAATGTTATCACTGGGCTGAAATCATAATTGAAAAATTTCAGTAGAAAAGGATCTGTTAGGAAATTAAGATTTCCCTATAAGACAACTTCCCCATATAGTTAGTAGTTTCTATTCCTGCGTTCCTTGTTAAATGTAAACCATAATATATTACTATTTATATTATTTAATCTATACCGTACATTGTATGGGATGTCCACTGTGGCTGGGTTAATACTGATGTAGAATTATTGGGCCAAATTCTCCTCTGAGTTACAGTGGTATAAATCCAGCATAACTCAAATGAATCAATGAAACACTCCAAATTTGAACATGTATAACCAAGACTAGAATTTGGCCCATTAACTTAAGTATGTTTGAGTTCATAACTTTAGCATTAGCGTTTGTTTTGGCATGTTTTCATCTGAGTGTGTGTGTGTGTGTGTGTGTGTGTGTGTAGATATAGCCATCAAGGGAAAAGTAGTTTTAGAAATACCTAAGGCAGATAAATCGCTATTTATGTGTACTATACGTATATTCATTCACACACAGAGACAGGGCCTTTTCCAAAGCCTATGGAAGGCAATGATTTTTATGGGCCTTGGATTAGATCCATAGAGAAATATATGTTTTGAAAACATTTTTATAGAGATAAAATATAATTCCAAAAATATTTGGTTTTACCTGCCTTGTCTGTGCTGGAAAGGGTCATCGGGAGGGCGGGGGCTGTTTTTGATATCAGGAGCAAAGTCAAATTGGCCATGGTTGTCCAAGTTTATTATTTAACTAAGCTTTCTGGAGTATGAATGTGAATGTTCTGGCACAGCTGGACAAGGTTATCTGTAGGATGTGTCTGGCATATTGTTAATAGTGAGATACCTGAATATAAATTTGTGAGGAAGGTTTTCATTGAAAGTCAGTGGGATCTGGATGCCTAAATCTCCTTTGGAAATCTCCTGCTTAGGTGCCTAACAACTTTAGATATTTTATATCACAAATTGTGATAACAATTTCTAACACAATTCTGCCCTTTAACCACTAGGTGGCACCAGAGACAGCTGCGAAGATAGCAGTTACATTTTCTTCAAATACACATACACAAAGACTCCTTCCTATCCACCTAAATATTTTATATATTCTCAGCAGTAGCACTAGGTATTTGGATGAGCGAAGTGATTTGCTATAGGCAAATTGCAAAATGTATGCCCCTCACAGCTCACCTGCACTCATAAATAACCATTTAGGATGGGCTTTTCAGAAAAGTTCAGCATTGCCCTAACTCTGTTCCCACTGAAGGAGCTGTTAAAGCTCCCATTTACTTCATTGGGAGCAGAGTTAGGACAATGCTGAGAACTTTTGAATACCCCATTCTTAGTAAACATATTATCTTCATTAATTTGCCCCCTAAAGCTTTATTGCCTATAGTGTCTCAATACCAGGGCTGGCCCAATCTAAGAGGAAATCATCTGCTTTTAGTATTTTAAGCTATGTGGATTTCAGACTGCCTCTGTTTTGTTTTTATTTTTGCTGACACTAATGATAAAGTGATGTATTCCAGTTATCAGTGAAATATACCATTTAGCTAGGGCGTTATCCACGACCCTCCAGGAAACAGGCTGTGTGCCAGAATGGAATCTCATCCTCTCAACTCCCAATTTACAGATGGGGAAATGGAGGCACAGAGACTTGTCCAAAGTCACAAAAAAAGATCAGGGGCAGAGCCAGGGATGGAATCCAGGTCTCTACAATTCCAGGCTAACGCTCTACTCCTTTGCCAGTGACAGATGCAACTCCCTCACACGCCCCTCCATGGGGAACTGAAACCATCTTACTTTGGGGCCATTGGCCAGTTCCTTTTCCGTCTCTAACACCCATCCCCATTGCCCTATTCAGGGCTGGTGCATAGCCTAGATCACCACATGCAGGGTGTGCATAATCTGTGAGCGTGACCACAACTACCTTCCCCTTCTATTCAGAAAGGTGGCAGTTCTGCTGCAGTTGAATTTTGCAGGCCCGTGCTGCCAGTTGAATTTTACCTTTATGTATTGTGCTTGCCCACACTGAAGTCAATGGCAAAACTCCAAGTGACTTTAATTGGAGCATAATCCGATCCTACAAAGAAACTGTATACTGTACCCTATATAGTCTCTTCCTGTAACTAGCTCTGAATATTCTGTGATACTTATCTTTGAGCAACATGATACAAAAATAAACCCCTTCAGTCTATGGTAGACCTCACTTTGAGGTTTGTGAAAGCTGCACTGACAGATTGTATGCAGCATCGCCCATGAATTGTAGTGTCTGCCATTTCAGCCACAGAATAGAATCTATGGGTTATATTTAAAAACTCAAATTATAGCTGAACTTCTGTGGGTAACATTTAGGTCAATTTCAGGTTAACTTCCTTCCTCCCCTGACAAATTCCCAGTTATAAAACAAAATATAATGTCTTTTATAAACCTCTTTAAATTGAAATCTACTGGACGTAATTTCCTCTCCCTTACCTTTGGGTTTTCTTTGGTGTAACTCTTGGTTCCACTAGAATTACTCTGTATTTATACCCATGTACATGAAATCAGAATTAAGCTAATTTAAAAATAAATAAATAAAACACTATATACATTTTTTACAGGCTACTAAAGTTTTTCAGCACTGGTCAGTTTTAAGTGTAACTTTAGTTTCTGAAATAAAAGGTTTCATTTCATTTTAACCAAGTGCTCCTATATAAATCTAGCTTTTATTTCAGTGTGTGTAAAAGTGTCTATCAAATCAATCTATCCAAACTTTGTAAAATCTACAGCTATTCAGCACACTTAGCTCCTCATAAAATTCATTTGGACTAAATAAAAGTTCCTTTGGACTTAATAAGTAACCAAAAAGTAAATGCGAGAAGATTTTCATAAGCACAAAAACACACACCAGATCGAAAGTTCATCTTCCAACAATCTGAGGCTCACTTTCCTAGAAAGAAAGGCCAGAGCGAGGGAGAATCAGAGGGTCCTATTATCAGGACTATCCCAAGATTGGGGGCTTTGTCTTATATAAGCAACTATACCCCCCTCCCGGGGAAAAAAAGGGTCCCAATTTTACACATTTGCTATCTGGTCACCCTAGTCCTATCACTTGTAACTTTGTAAGTACTTCAACAAAGAGACACAGCCACACATGCTCTATGAAATGCTGAGGGGGAAACATTTTACATCCACCAACAGCAGATATTTGGTTCTCTATTACAAAGCAACACAGTTGGCTTCCTTCTCATTCATGCTTAGAACATAAACACGTTACTAGCATCGGCAGTTTGTGTGTCCTTCCAAAGAGCAATCCGATCCCCACATCTGGGGGGGGAAGGGGGGGATTTTGTTCATTTCTCCCCCTCCCTCAGCCTGAAGTTTGCTCCCTTTCTGTTTACCTCCAGAAGCAGCAGAAAGGAATGAAGGGGCGCTTGTTAGTTTTTAGCCTTACCTAAGGTTTCCTGGCCGGGTTCACAGCGTGGGGCAGGCTCGGTGACCCTAACCAGGGCACCAAGAAACAGCAGGAGCTTCAGAAGCATGCTGGAGCTCCTTTATGTGCAGTCAGAATAGTGATGTGGCACTGGCTGCTGGAGGAGTTTCTCCACTTTGAGCCTCCACGCCGCGCGCTCTCCCTCTCTCTTTCCAAGCTGCAAAGGAAATTAGTGCAATGCAAATGCATGCCCACGTCTTACAGGATATACGGTCCAGGAATCATATTACAGTTGGCCTTAGTGTTTTGAAAGCAAAGGGTTTTAAGACAGGAGGGAGAAGTCCCTCCCCCCTGGTGGCTGGCGTTTGATTTTGTTAAAAGCTTCAGGGGGATCCCACAAGAATCCAGCCGCCTGCTCCTTGAGTCAAGGGCCCCTCCAGCGTGTTTGCTCTTTGTACAGCAGAGATCCCAAGGGAACTGAGAACTTCCTTCAAGTGTGTGACATTAGAGCTTGCTGAAACTAACTGACTGTAACTGCCTGGGAAGGCACCAATTAAAACAGAGAGGAAACACAATCGATTCCCGTCCTGTAACTATCTTCCCACAAATGATATTTCATGTGCATGTACACATTTAAAACAGAATGCACATTAAACAATGCAGAGCCTTGATGTGGTTACCTATAAGAAGAGTCATAATGGATCAGACCAATGGTCCATAGCCCAGTATCTAGGTAGACCATATTTCCCAAAAAGGGAAAATGGGACACCACCTGGGGCTAGCCTAAGGGCCCCCTTCCTCCCCCACCCCAAGTGCAGGGCTAGCCTGAGCCCTGCATCACCCCCGCACGGGTCTGGTGTCAGTCCCTAGCCTGACCTCGCCCCCATGCAGGGCCGGCCCAAGATGCTCCCCACACACACACACGGGGCTGGCGTTGTCCCCCGCCATCCCCGCAAGTTCCTCTGCATTCTGCTAGGGGGGCTTTTTTGGCAAAACTGGGTATGTGTCCCGTTTGCTCCTGCCAAATGCTGATGATCAATTAGCATGAGCAAATGGGACAAATGCCCAGTTTTGCCAAAGCAGTTGGGATGGCCAGGAAGGGCGTTGAAAAGGGACTGTCCTGGCCAAAACAGGACATATGGTCACCCTACCAGTATCCTGTCTTCCAACAGCAGCTAGTGCCAGATGCTTCAGAGAGAATGAACAGAACAGGGCAATTATAATGTGATCCATCCCCTCTGGCTTAGTCCTAGGTGCTGGAAATCAGAAGTTTAGGGACACACAGAGCAGACAGTTGTGTCTGTGGCTATCTTGACTAATAGCCATTGAAGGACCTATCCTCAATGAATTTATCTAATTCTTTTTTGAGCCCACTTATAATTTTGGCCTTCACAACATCCCCTGACAATGAGTTCCACATGTTGACTGTGTGTTGTCTGAAGAAGTGCTTCTTTATATTTGTTTTAAACCTGCTCCTTATTAATTTCATTGAGTGAGCCCTGGTTCTTATGTTATATGAAGGAGTAAAAAACACTTTCTTATTCACTTTCTCCATGCCATTTCTTCAATGCAGCTAGAATGCAAAGCTATAAAATAGTGACCAGCTTCCCTCTGTGTACATCCCTTATGCATATACTGTTTCGCTTAATATAAAGGCCACTTTATATTTTTTTTAAAAGTCGATGGATGTTTAATAGGAATATTTCATGTCTATTTTTTCCAGAAGCTGGATAAAATCTAGAAAAAAATGTTTTAATTGCTGTATAGATCTGTATTAATTTCCCTTTTAAATTATTTTGAGTACAATTTTATTTTAAAATTGAGAATATACCTTACTTATGATCAGTGTAAAATATGTAAGTGTAACCTGGGAGCTAGAAGGAGGTTTCTAACCATCAGTGGAGTGAGGTTATGGCACAGCCTTTCCACAGCAGGAGTGGAGGCAAACAACCTAAAATGGAATTTGATAAATTTATGAACAGGAGGACTATATGATGGGGTTGCCTACGATAGCAGGGGACTAGACTCAAAGACCCAGGAAGGCCCTTCCTGGCCTATGTCCCTATGTTCCCATCTTAAAAAGTTTACATTAGAAAAATTCGTAGGGCCATATTCTCGGCTAGTGAAAAGCAGGTTAGTGTCATTAAAGTGGAATGGACCACCTCTAATTTATAACAGCCAATAGCTCAAATGGAAGTTATGAGTTTGATGGAGAAAGTATTGGATGAAGGTCTGTTCAATTAAGTTAGATCGGTTACATGGGCTAAAGGGTTAACATAACCCAGTCACTGTTCAACATTAAACAGTGTTAAACAAGGTCCTGGGTCTGGTATACAGAGACCTCAGCTGCTTAATTCCATGGCAAACACACCATTAAAATCCCTTTAACCTTTTATTAAAGATGCAAAAAAGAAAGAAAAACAATGAAAGCATTTGAAATATAAAGTATTCAGTAAGGCTTTCATTTTAACAACATCCCCTGTTCCCTTTCCCTTAGCTGGAGAGAGTTTTATCAGGAACAATCCAGTCTCAGAGATGGTTTTAAAGATGGTAATAACTGTCCTTTTGGATAAAAGAGAAGAAATGAGTTGAGATGGGCTGGAGTTGTTGTTAAAGTCCGACC